GGAACAAATTAGTTCCGTAAAATATTCCTTAGGGCCTGGTTGCCTTTCTTTTTCATAATTTCGGGATAAAAGTTATGCCCTCTTGAAAAGCATTCCAAAAAATTTCTAGAAAGCGCTTGACGCTATGCCTCTCAACTGAAAAAAATTCTCTCGCCCGGTCTATACAAAAAAATTCTCGAAGAGCTCACCTTCTAGGAGCATCTGATTTCTTCTGAACAAGATTTGTCATGCTTACGACCGCATCAGGATGGTTGTAACAAAGTTCAGAGCATATAAAAGTTTCAGTCTGCTGCGCTCCGGCAACCTAAAATCTGTGCTCAGGAATGCTGTTGGAAAGGAAATTTTCGTAGTGTTTTGGAAGATACCAACACTGATTTTTTTGCATGGTCAGTGCCGAATATATAAACTGTAGAAACCCATGAAAATTGATGAAATGCCATGGAATTATACTTGTGCAAGTTTCACAATCGAAGGCTTGTTTATTTGTGCTGAAGTTTCCACCTGAACCAAGCGCCAGTCGGCTCTGTGTTTCTCAGTTGTTCTGCACCTCTATTTTTGTCGCATTGTCTCTTTACTCTTGCCTTCGGCTCTACAACTTTTTGTCGCTTTTCGAATCATTCCCGGTAAGAAGGTAAATCAAGCTCTAGAAGTCTAATCAAACGGGCGAGTCACTTTTTGATTTAGGCTAGATATCGGAAGCATCAGCTCCAGAGTCGTCCGGTGTCTTCCAGTATAAGTACCTTGACAAATTTTTTTAATCGTGCACTCGATTATCACTCTCATCTATAATGATGACAACTTCTCTAGTCATACCTTTCTGATTACCCTTTTTTTATCTCGCAATACTTTGGCAATTTTCTTGGTGGCGCACCATTGTTATAATTCGAAGCACTCTTCCCGTGCATGGATTTTTTTAATCATTTAGGAAAGCGCAACAAAGACAAGTAGACAAATTCAGAAATTTAGAAAACACAATAAAAAGTAGCTCCTTCTGCGCAGTCTATCTTTAGATAAAACGAAGAAATTTCTCAGCCAGTTTCTTCAATTAAAATCACGCTTGTTTGGATTAGAAATCCTTTACATGACCATCGCTTTTTGAGCGGAATGAGGATCAAATAATCATCGCATTTGAGCCCGTTTCATTACAAGTATGCCTGCGATGACGAAAGAATTGCACTCAAGAAAAAATCATAGCAGATAAAACCTAAAAGTGTGCGCTCTTTGGCCATCTTCGCGCGCAAGTGTTGTCGTCACGAGCACTATAATATTTTCAAGTTTTTTAGACTCCATTTTTGTTCTTCCCAACGATATTCGAGGCATTACAGCCGCACAGTCATCAATTGCACTCATTCGCTGAAACTATCAAATGTGATCGTTCCTGATGTTTCAAGTCATCATCGCTTAGTGTCATACCATTTCTTCTGTTAGGGTGGAACAAAACTGGATCCTCATCACAATCAGTCAGTTTCTTGTTAGCATGCTGTTTTCTTTATTATGAATTAATATTCTCAAGGTGACAATTCCTATCATAGCAAATTTTGATATCTGCTCTTTACAAAGCCTTTCTGAAAGAAATAATTGCTAGACTTTTTTTGCAGTGCAATTATCTCAATATTTATAAATCAAAGACTATAATCGAGCCTTTTCGCTTACTATAGACGTACAGTCATTGACAAAACCAGGTGGCTTCGGGGATCAGCACCGTGGCTCACGTAACTGCCTTACAAGATACCTGAACCCGAAGTCTTACGTATTCAGCACCGCCTTTCACTGCTTTGGACACCCTACAAGCCTCACTACCACAACTGCGCAACTGAATTGTACAGGCTTATATACACTAGCAAAAATACAAAAAAACATAGCTACAACACTTTCGAAACTATTACTATCAGGTTAGAGCCAAAGTTTTCGGACGCCGCATTTAGTCTAAGTTATTGTTTCGTTGTAACTGACTGGGGCATGCTGCACACTTTTGAATGGAAAAAAGCAGTCTCTACAAGATTATGGTAAGCACAAGCAATATCAATTTTTTGTATGTATCAATTTTTTGTATGAAAATTCGGGCAAAAGTGTAAGACAAAGATTTTGACTCAATCCAGATTTTTTTACTAGTGTCCATAGTTTTTTGCCGTTTTTACTACAACTGTCGACTTTTTTGTATCCTTCCTTCAACTGATGTGGCTTGAGACCTCGACGGCAAAGCAAGCTCTACAAGATGGCTATCAGTCTACCCAGATCGTACTCCATATGAAGTGTTGAGCTGAAACCTAATGCCAGTCAAAAACGAAGTTTAGTAATGAAAATTGTATCTTTGCTCCAAAAAATTTTGAAAGTCCCCTATTTATACTAGCAAATGCTTGACACATCAAACGTTCACACTGTACCATTTCCGTATTCCATGGCTGAAAGTAAAGAAAAAATGAATGAAGTGAAAGGGTGAAATCGCCCTTAGACGTTCTGACCTCCTTCCACGCTCGTGTTCATATAGCTCATACATACAAAAGTAGAATCATTTATTTGTGCCCTTTGTAGGTGTTCTAAATGCTGATGTATAGGGTGCAAACAGTAAACTTGAGACACCTTATTATTTATGCTACGAAACCTCCACATGCTCTAGTTCATCCTATACTTACATAGATGCACAGTTTGTAAGCAATTTGAGTCTAAATTACAGAAAAGGAGGTAATGGCAAAATGGTAAACTTTATCCCCATTGATCCTAGGCTCCTTTCATTCGCTTAAATGCTAGCTGAGGAGAAAGAGAGTACAGGTGCAAATTTTCGAGGCTATACATGCATTAGGTTTCGAAAAATAGCAGATTCAGTCCGGAAATGTCCAAGAAATTTTGAGCTAACCTAATATTAACGCAGGATTGGCGGCTTGCCGCTGATTTCGATGTCAAATCCGGAAAAACCGAACTGTGAACCGAAACTAGCCCTACAATGTTAGTTTAATGACATAATTGTTTTTGAAGACTCAGGGAAAACGCGGGTTTGGATAAATACTTGATATGATGTAATTGATTGATAATAAGATCGCCAAGCGCATAGTTTCTTCTCAAATTGATATAGCCTCAAAAATTTGTAAAACTAAGTTAATAAATGGCTGAGGCTTTCTTCCTCCCTTGCTTCTTGAACAGCTTTTCAAAAATTTATAAACGCATGAATAAAGTCAAATATTCTAAAGACGATTCAATCTGAATTTTGCATTTCTCCTTTTGCAACCGTTTTTTCTTGAAGGAGTCGTAAGCGTATTTGCCTTGTATTGTTAGTACATAGATACAAGATGAAGGTTGCGCTTTAAGGTTTGCGAAAGAAAAATGCAAGCTTGTATATTTTTTGTGCGTTTCTGGGCTATTCATATCAAAACATCCACTTCAATCACATTTCAACTCCTCATCCCGATTTATGCCATGCAATCTGTATTTGACGAACGCGCTCTTCGCATGGGATTGCTCATTCATGATGATGACTAGGGTCGTTTCCTGTATGTCACCATAGGCGATGCAGTAGATGATTGTTTTAATGGCATGACGATTGCATCGTTTCATGTGATGCATTGGCATGCAGGTTTTATTTGTCAAGAAGGGAGAAACAATGAAAAGGCATGGAAAGACACTGGTATTGTTCAATGTTGTTTAAGGCAAGGGACATACCTCAAGCGATTTCAGTCGCCACGCGATCTGGCAATTTGTCAGATGTCTTCAAATTCAATACTGGTAGACCCTGAATGCAAAGAATGCATAACTTTCGTAGGTTAATAAAATGCCCCCTCTTCCGTACATTCAGAAACCCCGTAGGATGAGTTATGAACATTTGGAGTATTGCCAAATCGCGTGGCCACTGAAATCGCGTGAGGTATGCCCGAGGCCTAAAGCAACATATATGGCGAAGGATCATTTTTTGACTTTGGTCGCAGATAAAGAAAGAAAATATGTTTTCCCTCAAGCACAAAATGCCTGAAATCGAGGATGTCGAAGCATAGATTTGTTTGCTCACATGAGGACTATTGAGTTTTTGACATCATAAGGTTGGCTATAGTTGTGTCACCCTGCTTTCGTAAATTATTCTGGGTTCCTTCAATCTTTTAATCAAAATTTTCTTGCCTGAATTTACATTCACCTGGCTCATAAGGGCGGCCTTTTTTTCTGAAGGAGGAGAAAAACCACAAATGCGTACAGCAATCACGTTTTCTGTGTGATGAATCATTCTGAGCATCCCAGCGTGACGGCTGAATTTTTGTGTGATAAAGTAACCTAAGCAAATATAACTGTTTTCAACATAGATACTGCGTGGCTTCTTCAGCAGCAAACAAGGAAGTAAAAGTCATTTTACCACTGAAATATGCATTACCTGCTACCCTTCCAAGAAGTTAGGCATGCGATGGAAGCTTTCGAAGCATTTACAGATCGAACATCCTTGCGAACGAACATATGTGCGAAAGTTTTGGAGTGAAGTGATCTGATTTGTTACTGGAAGATTCTAGTTAAAAAATTTTGTTTGCCATGTTCCCTTTTTCATTACTCTGAGACCATTGCAAAATAGCACAAAATTTGAAAAAAAACCCTGTAAATGCTTAGTTTGCTTTTGCAGTCACTCAAAATTCGCAGTCTTGGTTTCACAAATCTTGTCCTCAATGACTTGACTAATTACAGTACGTATTCCCTTGTGCAGTTTGCGAAGAATCTTTTTTTAAAGATTGTATTTTTTCATCCTTTACAAATCCATGTCGAATGCAGCTCTCATACTGAGCTCAATGAGATTTACGCCTTACTGATTGCAGTACATACTGAAAGAGTAACCGGGGCTTATGACTTCCTTTAATTAAAGTATCGTAAGTATTTCTTCCTTGCGTTCACCTTTTTTCAGTTCCATTAATGCTTTCCCACGAAATTTTTCTCGCGTTCATTTTTCTCCGTCGAGGTCAATGTCTTCATGTTTGCTTTATGATATCGTACGGCATATCAATTTCCATCCTTGCCCACTTCAATTACTTACTTGCAGAGAAATTTTTTATCATGTCATAGTCCGCAATTAAAGCTATGTATTCAATATTTTCGTCCTGTTTTCTACAGTGCTGTCCACAGGGAACCATATTTTTTGTGCCAATATTTCGGCCAAGCAGGTGGGTAAAAACTTTGTTTTGAGAATTGAAACAGTTCCAACGCAAAAATATCGGTTTTCAAAAATACCATACTTTAAGGCCAGCATATAACGATGATGAGTTTGAAAAGTACGAGCCTCGGCCGAAAATTGTCATCGACAAACAAGACGTAGGTTTCTTTGTAATTTGCATACGTTAATAACTTTTTCGCCAGCTAAGCTCCGATATGCTTTGTTATAACATTGCGAGCTTCTTGATGGCGCTTTATAGCAGTAGTTGTTCCCGAAAACCAAATAACAGTAAAAACAGGGCTTGATCCAGGATGGTCGATGAAACATATGTGAAACGAATACGCCTTTGCCACATTTTTTTTACAACTTCTCCCTTGGTGTTTTCCTTTTTTGTGGCTTTTGTTAGGACCAAGACTTAGTGCTCCTGGCGCTATCTTTTTCGAAAGCAAGCATTAAGCAGCAGCAAGTAAACACAGTATGTGTGCGCTTGTGTTTGCCACGTGAAAAATCCCCAAGGTTTATGGTTTCGTTTGAGGGAGTTTGAGTCGTAAGTGGGCGGATTTCGTTTTCGCGTTTGCCCGCAAAGAGCCGCGACTTATTTTCTATTTCGGGCTCTAGCAAAGAGATGATGTGGAATTTTGAAACCAAATTTTTATCAAAAGTAGGCATTGGATGTAGAACACATATAAAACGAAAAACGTACGTAGACTGGAGGCTCATTGTGGCGCTAGGGTTATGTACATGCAATTTCCACCCTAATCTGGAAATAAGTCGGGGCACGACCTTCATTCACACAACTTTTCCATACACTTTCATACTTTGTTCTTATTCCATAAGGCGCATTCACACACTAAGTTTGGATCCATATCGTCGTGTGTAAGCTACAAAATGAGTTATCTTCCCATTTGTGAGCACCGCAAAAATCTTAGAAACTGTTTACCGCACTTTTTGACCACATAATTTCTTCACAACCTTTCTTAGTCTTTTCCTACTGCCCTTGTCCAACTATGTTAGAGCTTTGGTAGCATAATCTTTTGTGTGCGCCGTAGTCGAATTATTTGCCTACTATTTTATGCAAAAAAGTTTGATTTTTCAAATTTTCGCTTTGGGCATGATCGTATTTGAGCGTGCAGTCAGATGGAAACCTGATCGTTACGGATTTGGACATGTGTAAGGGGTACATATTGTTCAGTTACTGCTAATTTTAGTCTGCATCCGAACACTAGATTTTTTGAAGATAATTACGGTAATTGGCTGATAATGAACTTGGTTTTCAAATGGTTTCCGTAATCTCTGAGCAATAAACATGAACATTAGTTACGCTTTTAATCAAAAACCTCATTTTGCACGGGAATCGGATAGAACAGGATATTTTCCGCGACGTTTGCTCTCACGCAAAAGCTTTGCTTCTATTCATATATAGATATTTTGTCTACGACGAAAACCACAACAAATCAAGCGACTAAAAATCTGAAGCGTTCAAATTAGCAATCATTACGGGACCTAGGCATAGCCATAAATCGATATAATATTGACTTAAAAACAACAGAACGTATCAATTTATGTTTGCACACCAGTTTTATTTCTGGTTAATCGAATCTAGCTAGTTAATCATTCGTCAACGTCAGGTGCTTTGTTCTAAACTATTTGTTTTTGTACATCTGTTTGAGTGAAAAATTAAATTCTTTACTGCATGTCAGAAACGAGGGGATTTCGTCAAAGAACAGCGCATAATAGCAGATTAAATGAAAAATCAGTTCTGTGACCGAAAGTCCTGTCTTCATTATTTTTGACAAAATATCAATCATTAAGCATTATTCGTTCTCGTAATCTAATCATCCCAAGAGCATACAAAATGCTTATGGTAACCAGAGGCAAATATGTGAAGCTAATTGCGAACATACTCAAATTGTCGCTGCGTTTTTGAGGCACAAAAATCCTATTCGCAAAAAGATTGCAGATTCTTGCTCTAGGCAGCAGTGACGATCCAGGATATTTAACTGCAGCGAGAGCGAGAACCGCTTTCTCCTTTCAAAAAAATGGAAGATTCCAGAAAACAAATCGTTGTTTCCTTTCACAAAAGCCAAAGAAGAAAGTGCTTGAGTTTTGCAACATATTTTCGTCAAAAAGAGCACGACTACGCAACAAACAGCAAGTACGCTTTCTCGGAAGTATGCATTCCTGGACTAGGTGTTGAATAAAAAAGCTTGATGGTCTTTGTAAAATCTTTCATGCTGATGCTGCAAGAATGTGAAAGTGCGCAGGATTTACATCTGTATTTTTTATTCTTGCGAAGAACCTCTTTGTGCGAAGTTATGGTAATTCAGAGCCTAATAGTCTCTGGTGAGAATAGATGTGTGGTGCTTCTATTGTTAGTAAGTTTGATTTAAGATGTTTGTTTCAGTTTTCTCCCGTCAAATCCTATCAATACGAGGGACATGTGGGAACAGAAAACCTGGAACCACATCTTCGAGTTGGTGCGCAGTACAACCATCAGAAGAAGGTGGTTATCGTCAAAGTGATGTCATTGCATTCGTGCGATTTGACTGCTGATGATGTTTCACAGGTGAATAATTCCTTTGTCTCTAGTACAGCCTTTTGAAACTTTTACCAAAATGTTATTTTAATTAGTCCGTATTCCTTATTTATTTATTTATTTATTTTGATATGAAAAGCTTGCCATAACCATCATAATCAATTGAATACTTGGTAGATAATTAGTAACGAAATATCCATTGATTCAGCTCAATTCCAGACCCGATAGTTTTTGAAAAAGAGGAAGACATTAGCTTTTAGATCAAGTATTAAACCGTATTGATGTGGCTTAATGAACTCTGTCTCATGGCTCTGCTTGCAGCAAAAGTGCTCTTTGTTTAATCAATAACCAAAAGTAAATTGGGAGTAGTGAGTGCATTGGAAAGCCCGCACAACCAAATTTAAGGGAGCAGTACACCAATAGTGGAGAAATTACCCAATGCACAAAGCTGATGAAACCTAATGAGCTATTCTCAAGTAACAACAAGGGGTTGAACCCAAATCAACATGTGGAGGAAGTATAAGTATATCGAAACGCCTAAGGCCCCGGACAGACTTCACGCGTTTTGATCGTCGCGACTGAATCGCGACGAGACAACTGTTACAACATCATTCCATGCCGATCAACTTGCATTTCGGTTGTGATACTTTTCCAGCCCGAAATTTTTGAATGTGAAATGAAAATGAATGGAAATGTCGGCGATTGAGTCGCGACGATCAAATCGCGTGAAGTCTGTCCGGGGCCTAACGCCAACAAGCCAACGTTTGAGCTAATAGCATTTAGTTCTCCAAAGTTCTAGAATCAATACAGCCATGGAGAGTAAAACAAACAAGTCATGCGACATATGTGCCTTAGCAAAGTAGTATTAGCACGTTGACGACAGTCTTGCGCAATGGTGTGCTACAGGCAGTCTGTCCCTGTGGACCATGTCGTACAATGGTGTGCGACACCCTAAATATCAGTTCTAATGTGCATAAAGGTTCCAATTTGCATTCACATAATCATTTTAGGATTAGAAGGATTTCATAATGGCCTCGCCCCCTTCTGGCGAACTCAGCCCACTCTGTGGCCCCCTACAGAAACTCTTTTCCTTCTTAAATTGCATAGAAAAGCTCGTAGATGACGAGGGAATCTCAAAATAACCTTAATTTTAGCCCCGCCCCCGTTGTGCAGGCTCCACCCCTCGGTGGAAAGCGCCCGCCCACTTTTCAAAAGTGCCGGAATCGAATTCGAATTTTGTACAATTTCCGGCATCTTTGTAAAGTGGGCGGGGCTTGCCAAAAGTGGGCGGAGTTGCCCCGCTTATTTGCATTTTTGTATCTCACTTATAGATGCATGCATACAGACATGCAGTCAGCTGTCAAAATGTGCGGAAACTGTTCGTCTACAGGGACGGACATAAAAAAAAGCAGCTCGTCGTCAAAGGAAAAAGATTTGCTGCTTGGGTGACATAGCGCGACACTCGCAGGCACTCCTTTCTTACTAAGTATTTAGTTCGGTGAAAAACCTGAAGTTCCTATACTCCGTCTAAGGAAAGGAACATAACGGAGAATTTGAACTTCCTTCTTTTATTTTTTCTTTATGATAAAATATTACAATCATAGCATCACATACAGAGTCTAACGAAAGAAAAAGATAAAGAACTAGTAGAAATAATCGCGAGTATTTGAATCTAAACAATGACAACGTTATTTAATCCACAGCTAAGAAGCATTGTCAAGTGTACCATGCAATGCGGATAGAAGCAGACATTGTGAATAGTAGTGTGGTGAAAAGATTGAGGTACGATCGGTTTGCACTCTCTTCATGTAAGAGTCTAAACTAAAGCCAGGTCCAAGTGTTTACGACAAATGACTAACAAAGCCTCTCTATCTTAAACACCCGAGCATTGCTGAAAATACTAGCTGCAATAGGCCACAAAGCACTTTGAGGGCCAGTTTAAATAAGCACAAATTTGAATACACTAGAAACGTGTCATAAAAAATCTATTTCACTCAACTTAGCTTTGACAGACTGAGAGATTAACGCACTAGTACTTCGTTTCGTACTCGCAGAAACCATCATGCATTTCTGCAGAATATTTTTGTGATAAAATAACCTCCTCCTCCCTCCCCTCTCCCCGCAATCTCTCACTGGTAGGCATGAAGACCCAAACAACTTGAAAGCGAAAAGTCAGGTCAAAATTATTTTTGACCGAAAAAGACCCGGAAGACTGAGCCTTTTGAGATGGCTTCATAATTTGATGGTGCCAGAAAGGATCTGCCAGAAAGACGAGTAAATGTTCTTTGTACTTCTCCGATCTTGATGATGTCTTTTTAGGCTTAGAATATCAAATTTGTGAGCAGTACTCAAGATGAAGAGTAACTAGTCCATCATAAAGGCGCGAAAGCATTGACGGTGAATCGCTTCTAGCGCATCGTAACATTCTGTACATTACTGAACATTGAATGTAGTGCCGCGATTTTTTACTAGTAAACGTTATTTCCCACAGCAGTACTATGTTGTGACTAGGTTATAAATACTCTGTTTGAAGTTTTTCCACAAGGGTGATTGAATCGCAACGTCTGGAGGTAAATAGTATTTGCAAGTAAAGAGCCTAACTTTTATCAAACTTATTGAGAATTGAGATGATAAGCTAAATGCGTTGACTATCGAGACGTAAAAGGGAACTTCCTTGCTTGAAGTATTAGAGACGAAAAAAATACTGGGCATCTGGTCTCAATCTTATTTTATCTTTATACCAAACTACTCTTATGCATAAGTACCTCGTCGAGTGATCGGGGTAATGCTAGCCATGCTTCTTACAGATCTCGATGCATGAAAACCAGTTCCTCTTATGGAAGAATATCCTATATAGGGCTCGATACGAGGTGTCTTTCCGAAAATGCAGAAAACGAAGTCCCCTTGACTTTCGCGAATTTACAAAGTCCCCTTTGATCCTAAATCTTAAACGTAAAAATCCTGAAAAAAGAGACGCCGATTGAAAAAACGCTTGCCACAAAAACGATATCCGCTTTGCTTTTTATCCCAAAAACAAAACAAAAATATCCAGCTTCTAGTAAGCCAGTTGTGCCAACCTTGATCCTATGTATGCCACTAGGAATATAAAAAACATCCTAATCAGAATTGGTTATTGCATTGTATGAAAGGTACAGGTCCAATATGGATATAAAGATGTATTACGATTTTGCTTGTCAAAATACTGTTACTGTGATTGCTGCCAAATATTTCTTCCCTTTTTTGTGCTCGAGAATGAATGGCTTGCTTCGGAAGGATATGTACATATGTGACGCTGAGCGACAAGAACGTTGCTGGAATAAAAATATATATACTATTCGACTGTAACATATATCTTGTTACACCGTTAGAAATTAGAGTGTAACAAGACTTCTGTTACAACCTAATAAAAGCCGAAAATTCCAAAGCATAGCGGGTGAATCGTAACTTAGATAAAAAAATTGCTGCATGGCTTAAAAAATTGCCAAATCTTTTTACGGCACTATTTCTATACTTTCATTGGCCAAAATACTTACCACTTCTAAGTCCAGATGACTGAATGAAGGCTGTTGCAAAGCACTCTTTTCAGACTTCTTTTCGTTTTAATCAATCACACTTGCTTACAGAAAGAGCTGCAGATAAGCTGCCAGAAAGAAGTCTCCATGTCGGTTAGTAAGATGCCCAGCAAATTAATTGAAACTCGAATTAGATTCCACGTTGTTGCTCAAAAAACGTATGGAGTTTTAAGCGCAAGGAAGTGCTAGAATTATTTTCTCTACAGTGCACACAGTTACTAAATATTCTGCAACATTATACTCTCCCAGTTGTAATGTTGCCCTTCGTTTATTACGAGTTCAAGTGAAGCAAAAAAAATAAATTCTCCTCCAAACATGGAATACTTGCCATTATGATTTGACAGTACTTACTCTGTTGCTTATGAAATGCCGAATGCAAGAAGATCCTAACACGTCCAGCTAAAAAAATTTCTAGTTAAATCTGCAAAATACGGAAACAATTATTGGCTGTAAGGGTAAGAAAATAATGCGATCAGTAAATTCGTAAGTACGCCAAGAGAGTGCAGCGGAAACTTCAAACTCTTCTTTCATTCATCATAGCTATAATTGCTTGACGATTTATAGACATTGATTCAGAAGGACAGGTGCCGCTTGAAGGCAATGTCCACCCTAAGGTGAGGGTCTTAAGCTTTTGGCAGCATATGATAGTAGAGCCCCTATCAAGCCAATGCGCAAGTCGCGGCGCAAAATGTCGTTTCAGAAGCGAGAAAATCGCTCCGTAATAACGAAGATGCACCAGGACCCCCAGACGGAACCGCCCTCCCCATCCATGCCCGCCCATCCGTGCGCGGCCAGCCAATTACCATTCAGGAAAGCCGACCTGTGGGTTCTCCGGAACGGATATGGAAGTTTTCGTGGATTCTCGACTTCATATTCGGAATCAGGGACATGAGAAGGCGCCGGAACGATCAAAACATGGAAGTCGAGAATCTGGGTGGACGGTGCCTTAATAACCTCGTTCATCTACCGTACTTTAATACCCTCAAACCTCTTACTTCATCAATCTTCTCTTCAAACTTAGTGCAGTATAGTACATGTTGACCTGCAATAACAGTCGAAAAGGCGCAGAACATCGAAAGCACAATATATGAAAAACTCAATGTTACCAAACTAGATGAAAGTGAACATCAATAGAGCTACTCTCGTCTCAGCTGGTGCAATGCAGTTTTTTGAGAGAGATGAGGGGGGGGGGGGGGAGGGAGGGGGTGCGACAATTGGCCAAATCAGGATTTTATTGCTCTATACAGCTTTACTAATGCACGAGTTTACCTTGCTTACTTACCTGCAAAGATTTTTTGGTACCTTTTCTGCAATTCAGCGCTAGGTTTTTTTCATAAAAAAATGATGATGAGTCATAAAATATACTTCATTTAACTTAGCATATTTTCCTTCATATCTTTGAACACACAGCTCAGATCAGAATTCTGCAACAACTCTGAATCAATCTCTTTGAACATATTACATAACTCTGTTACACATCACTAAATATTCCTTTCGGTGCTTGAAAGTAAAATCCAGCTGAAGTAAAAGAGCACAAACGAACTAACTGTATGTAGCATTTAGCCAATATCCTTTAGTAAAGCGATCCTTTATTTTTATTGCTTGTTGGTAAACAATCACGAGCATTGTTAGCATAAAGTCAACAACAATAAGCTGAGTGTTGAAAATGAATATTTTTTTTGAACTTGCAAATATTTTTGGATTTCTCCTTTGTGCTATTAATCACTCATTGCTGAATAGGTAAAGCATAAAATTTTGATGTTTTCAAATAAATATCTATATTTGAATACCGCTCTAGTTTTATTCTCATTACAGATACGAATCTCGTATGGCAATGTTCGAGCTAAACAGCAAACAGCGGTAGTTAGAGGTGAAAACCCAGCCTTCAACCAAACGTTTTCCTTCACAGATGTTGGGAAAGGTAGGTCACGCTTTCATGACTTTAGATTCCATATTTATCTACTTTAGATGAATTTCAAACATCTTCGCTTCGGTTTCGTGTCTACTCGCGAAGCGGCATGTCGAGAATGAATTTGAGAGCTGAAGGAAGTTTGGAGAGTAAGTTCTGACTGTAATCACTCAACGTGGAATCCTTCTTTTCATAAACAGTAAATTCAGGTTCAAAGATAGCTAGAGAAAGTCCCACAATCAGCTCAGTTAAACTGACTAAGATTAACACTATCAAATCGGAAGTGCCACCGGTGAGTGAAGGGGATTTACGATTAATTCAATTGAATCCTTTTGAAGCGCTATGGAGAATCATTTATATGCAGAAATTCTGGGCCCTCATAATCTTACTGGCTCTCATGCTTCTCATTGAAAACATTAATTTCACATTTGCTTCATCCCCACAACCCCTTCAGCAATTCTTTTCCTGCAAAAGCTAGTTCGCACTTCCTTTTCTAGCTATAGCTATCTCTATTTCTATTTTCGTTTTGAGATTTTCTGCACTTCACACTCTCTTTGGCTGCATAGATCCTAATGAGCTTTCTGCAAAAAACAATAGGAAAAAATTGCAGCTCCTCTACCTCTTTTTTTCATCGCTGGAGTTAGCGCAAATAGAATTCTGTTTGTGAATTTCTTTCTATTAATAAATTAGATGTACCTAATCGTAAGTCATTTAAACTTTTCGATTTTTCCCCCATCGAAAACTTTTCTCTTTTAACTAAGCTTTATTATAGTGTGCGCAATGGAGCCTTGAGCGTTTTAGCAAAAAAGGAACGAGTAATGATAAATCATAAAGAAACAACCAACATATATCAGTTCGCAAACTCCGAGCAGAGCTAACTAATGTTATAGAGAAGTTTCTATGGTCACAAAATTTCTAGAAACTTAACGATGTTCGTAATTGGCAAGGAATACTCAATCGTAAAAAAACTGGCAATTTGGAAAGGTTTTTTTTAGTTGAGTAATCTTTTTGAAGATAATAAAGTGAAACATAACGGGGAAGCAGAACGATTTTGAGTAATATTTTCACTTTTTGTTGCACCTTTTTGTTCAAGAAAAAAGTCTAACGAAATAATTTCAATAAATTAATTGCTACACCGTAGAGCATAATGCCTATAGCCATAAACTTTCCAGCAGAATCGTCACAAAATTCCAAATATTACTTTGTGACCTCAACAACATAGAACTTCCAGTTCAAAACCAGAACAATAACCATTTGATTGCTAAAATTATGTAAAACGAGAAGGGCGTTATGACGAGATGATATGTTCGAATGTTATGTAAATATTAGCATAACGTTTTGGGGGAGTATGACTCTTGCTTGTCTCTGAAGGGATTGCATAAAGCGGGGGAGGGGGAAGAAAAAGAAGTAAAATTTTTGTTCTGAAATGATGACTATGTAGATTTTATGCAAAGGTAACCAACAGTTGATTTTTTCCTGAAAAGAAGTTATATCGTCGCATTATTTGTATCTACCACTGTAAATCTATCTCCCATTTTTTTGTTCCCCTCACTCCTTGTCCTTCACCCTTCAACCATTCTCTGAATTTGACCTTTAGGTTATGCAGCTCATTTTCTGCGAAGCGACCTACTCTATACTCAAATACAATTTTCCGTTGGAGACCAGGTGCAGTAGATAATGCGGGTAATTGTCCTAAAAACTTGCAAAACCCGATCGGGAGCAGATTGAAAGTGCTCCCTCTATCTTCATCCAGCAATTTACTTTACTTCTCTTCTTGTTGTTGTCTTCCAAAACTGCAATCTCTGCCTCTATTCAAACGGCTGAAAAAGGCCAAGGGGGAGGGGAAGTGCCGAAGAACAAGCGCTTCTGGCTGGTGGCGCTGAAAATCACCACATCCGGCTGACTTGCATTTCGACAGCCTCGGCAGCTGGACAACGAACTTCAACAACAGAATTTGCATCTGAACTGACGTCATGTATCTGACTGTGAATAGAGCGGTGAGTTTTTTTAGGATTTGGAGGGTTGCCGGGAGGATGACGGTAGGTTACAGTACTGGCTAATGGCCATTCTAGGCAGTGACAGGTTTTTTCGAGGCTGACAACTTCAAATTTCCTTAAAAATGATTCTTTGCTTTACTTTGAAACTAGTTTCCACCTAATTCTTACTCATTGCGATGACTTTAATGATCTATAAAAAATACATTGATTTAGTTTTAATCATGGCTTGAGTTCAAAATGAAATTGCCCATTTTTTACGCAGTGGAGATTATTTTCGCATTAGTAACACACCTCTAATATGATAACTTACGAAATAAACATTTATGGACCTGCTTTCACACAGGTACCATAAAAAATTTATTTCTTAATAATATGTTGACTATTATTTGTTTATCTATTTGAATTATTATTATTATTATTTCAACTAGGCTGAGTCCTGGAATACACCCTTTTTTACATTCAGGGACTTGCCGCACCAGTATCATGAAGACTATTTTCTTTATCGGATTTTAGTAATTTAAAGATCATATTTATTTGATTTTTGAATGGTCATGTATCAAAAATGACTTGAGTTATAAAATGGAATTTTCCTTTATTCGTAATTCCGCTCCCGACCTACTGCGTTGGATACAAAGCTACCCAAAACTGTTACACATGCCAGTCCCTCGTTAACTCTCTTCTCCCTCCCCCCTCACCGTTCACCCCGTTCTTATTTCAAACTCTGACCAAATCTTTTTGTCTAGCAATTGAATAGAGCTGGCCAGCACCAACCGGATGCCGGCTTTGAATGAAAGATGTTGCTAGAACGTTCAAAGTCGCGTGAGCTAGAGCAATGATTTGTGTCCCATTCAAAGAAAGTGCTGGATCTGCACGCTCTGAAAGTTTTTCTGTTTTTGCAAATGAACTTTCCAAACATTTGCAGAATTAGATAAATGGCCCTCCTCTGTGAATGATATCCTATCTCATAGTTGCGTGTTCATGCATTTCTTGTTTGACCCAAAATTTTGAGCCTATTCATGCCCCAAAAGCTAATTTTGTAATGCATTCAGTTTTTCAAATTTTTGAACGATGAAGGCTAATCTGAACGCCTTGTATACTACCTCTCCTTCCAAAATTTGTAGAATACTAACCAAGAGCTTCTACCAAATTGAAATTCTGCTGATACAAAGTTGTGTGACAAATTTTTTGCTTCTTAATTTGGGGCTAGTCATTGGGTCTCACAGGCGGTGCCTCCTTTTGTACTCGCAAACACATTCTAGAAATTAGAAATTGTTCTTGAGAAAAATTTTGGAATTGTGTGGTTTATCGGAGAAATCAGATCAGGTGACCTTGATTGCAAATGCTTCGAATGGTTTTTGTACTTTCTGAACTGCTTTGGAAGATTCACGACAAGAAAATCCCTTTTTGGCTTTGTACTTACGTCCACTTAGTTCATTCCCTCTCGAACAATTTAGAGGGCTGTGTCGAATGCCCTTTAATAACGTACATGCTTTTTCAAAACCAAAGAAGGCTCGAAACTGAGATTTGGTAGAACTCCTTGCGTGTTCTCCATTTAAAATCTTACTGAAGAAAGCAATCTAAACGGGAGTAGAAAAATTTGAGAACACGCAAATGCTTCTTTAACTTTTCCCAAATTTAGCCTCAATCCATCAAATATTTCTGCTAGCAGTCTGAAGACAGCACTTAACATTGCTAAACTCTCAAATTGCCTCAAAACAACCAAAATGTCAAGCTTGTGACTCAAACATCATTTATCCACTAAGTGTCCATTGTTGATGTCCACGGCTAGAAGATGCTCATTTCCAAATTTAATCTTTCCCATGGGGCAAGATTTCGTCGTTTACTTGCAGAAAGCAAAACAACATAACAGCAAAGATGCCAAATGGAGACAATTTGGGATTTGATGGTTGTTATTGATGAAGTTAGCGATAAAAATAAAATGAGTATGATTCTCCTTACAAAGCCAAAATAACCAAATGATCTATCTGGAGTTTTTTTTTCTGGTTGCAAAAATCTCAAAAGGTTAGTTGGAAACCTATTGGTTGCTGCTCCACCCACAAGCTGTTATTGAGAACATCTGAAAGAAGGGGACCTATAAGATATTTGAAAATCATTCCACCCGTCTGGAAAAGATAACACCTTGATGTTTGTTGGTCCAAGCCATCAGATATGATGTTTCAAGTCACTTCAGTTGTTTTTTATTTGGTTCATTGGTATATGAGTGAGATAAAATTTCAGAAAATTTCTTGACTCTTTTTCTACGTTTCGTCACCATATAAAGAATTCAAATCATACTACGACAGAGTTTGGTTGAGCCAAATGTTGCGAGTCTGACATCATTCTCAGAGCTCGCAGCTCAAAAAAAACTTTTCGAGGGCCACCATTTGCTTTTTGCCTGCATTCGTTTCCTATTCTTGTCCTTAGGGATGCAAGAAAATGGCCTTTTAGGCTATATATAGCTACAAGAAGCTTTTGTGGTGCAAGTGGGCCCGTCTAAATGGGCTTCAGCTTTTCATATAGCTTCCTGGAATGGTTACCTCAAAGGCTTATGTTATGGTGGCTATTTCAGTTCATGCTTTTTTTTTTGATAATATACATTTCTTTTTCTCAAAGGAAAACATCATCTATGCATTTCAAAGAAAAATTAATACCTTCCAGTCTGCGGGATTATGGTAACAAAATGTCAGGAGTAAAGGTATTTTTTTTCTTTTTTTATACACCAAAAGTGAACGATCCTTTGAGTTTGGTAAAAAAAACAATTTTGTACCATCATTTGACTTTCGTTATTTCATCGAAACTAGTAATGCCCGCAAAACTCTTTTCTTGGTGGTTTCTACAGTAGTCCGGCAACTTCCCCAAGCATCAGTCTGCAAAATTACGTCGAGACAAACTGATCTTCGCACAAAAAGTCTACAAAGTCAAAATTTGTTGAGTAATTGCCCAGATCAATTTTCGTCACTTTACCTACCTTCCCGCTTTTTTGTTTTCGCCTTTCCTCCCCCCCCCCCCCTCCCCACCCCCCCCCCCCCCCCCAGCCCCACAAAGAACATTTCTTGCTTACGTCTGCTACACATTTTAGCGTAAACGATGTTGACCTGCTAACCTGTCCCAAAGGAATTCCGATGCAGGAAGCGCAACAACACCTCTGGGGGATTTGGCCATCTGCCAGCAAATGCAAATATGTCATTTTTACGACTTTGCAAGGAAATCTTACTGCCAAAGATGATGGATCACATTGATGACCTTTGTTCCATCCCCCCCCCTCTTCTGTTCCTTTAGTCTTTTCGCATAGATC